ACGAGGCCGGGAGCAGCCTTGCCGTGCCCACAGCAGGAGCCCCCGGTGCTGCCGTGCACATGGGAACGGCGGGCCAGGAACACGCGGCAGCTTCCCCGGCTGCCCCGTTTCCACACGGCGGGCGAGGCGGGCAGAGGCGCGAGGTGCTGACACCCTGTGCTGCCGGGCTGGCTGCAGCCTGCTCCGCCTCGAGGCTCCCGTGGCCTCAGCCTCCCGGGAGGCACTGTCTGGTGCTCCCGGGCTAGTGTTCATATTGGTTCGGTCTCAGCTGAGCTATTTCTAACAACGAAGAACATATCGGAGAGAGTTACAATTTGCTGTAATCATATTTTTCGAGTTTTTCTCTGTGATAATTACTTCCATAAATATCACCGCTTCACCCCAGCTCAGCAGAGTGCTCTCTGCCTCCGCGCTCAGGCTCAGCCTCCTGGCTGGCCTGCAGTGGAGGGACAGCAGCAGGATTTCTCATTACTGGCACCTCCAGGTAAGGAGCTTTCAGGGCTGCCATTTTTAGGCCAGTTTCTATGCTGCATTAGCTGATCAAAAATCACTATCTGAAATGAAGAGCTGTGAAGAGTATCTGTGTTAAAGTGAGCGTGTGTGTTTAAATAACATAACACAACCATAAAGCTTTGAGTCTGTCTTTGACCATGCAAAGACTTGAAAATAAGAAGTCAGGGTGACATCTTAGCATTTGAATATATCCAATTTTAGTGATGGCCACTGCTGGTTACAGTTTAGTAACCCAGAACGTTTTTTAATATAATCTGCGGATTATGGCTTGCAGATCTCAGGACTTCCAATTTCAATCGTGTTTACTGACTAACAGTGTTCAGGATAGATCCTTAAAATGGATTTTGTGAGCCAAGTGGTTATTTTTGACCATCAACTTACAAGTTCAGGTGTGTTTTTGGACTTCAAAGCTCAGGTGCTGGAAGAAGGCAGAGGAGTCACAGCCTGAGAGAGGCGACATGAGGAGGTACAGAGGAAAGAAAGAGATGAGAATGGGGGCAGTACTGGCCCTATATTAAATGTGGGCAAATGTAGAAAAGGATTAAATGACTTGCCAAAGTTTTATCTGTTGTCTATGGCAGATCTAGCATTCTAGACACAAATCTCCAGAGTTCAAATGAACCCCCTTAGCTACAAGGCCATCCTTCCTCTCCAGAAGATGATATATAGGTATATAAATGCGCATTGATGTAATGCCAAGTTATAAACCACAAGCCTTTCAGAACTCGTGTTCCTGATAGATTGTGAAAGAACTTGAAGTCAGGAGAATTGTGGTTTGTCTGACCTCATGCTAATCGTTCTCCGTACTTGTGTCTTGGTCAAACTGAAAATGAATGGAATAATGAATCCATCTGAAAAAATGTATTTTCTGGGTGTTGGTAGTGACCCAGTTTTCAAAAGCTGCTAGGATATTGAGGTAATCAGGGAAGGAAGATCCTGTCTTATGAGGCAGGGCGCAAAAGCTAAATTTAAACAAAAGCAGTGATGAGAAGGAATATCAGTAGACTGTGCGGGGAGTAAATATCAGAACTAGTCAAGTTCAAGAACAAAAGTCGCATCAGAGCAAATGAGTATAAACGGGCTCCTAATAAACATAGGCTGGGGATCTTAAGAAGCTGAGTTATGAGATTCTGCCAGCTTTCCAAGAGGAATAGTAGGGTCAGGGAAAGTAAGCGCTTTTTAAATAGATCTTGATCCATTTTATGAATGGGGCATCATGCTTGAAACAGCAGGAAGGCTCCACTCAAGCCTTCCAATCTTCCCGAACAACAGTCCAATGTTCCCGAATAACACCAGAAGTTCACAGCTGGAACGCTTTGGTGATACGCTGGGAACGGAAGTAGCCAGACGTGTTGTGTGTGTCAGATAGATTTTGTCTTTTGGGCTCCTCTCCTAAGGAAGCCTGATTTCCCTGATTATCCCGTAACCTGGTGCTTGAGATGTACTTTGACATTTCCAGGAAATCCCTCCCAGCTCTCAAGTGGCAACATGTGAGGGAGGAAGAAGTATTTCAAGCTGGCACTGAACCAGGAGCCCGCTGTGCTTGGTGCTTTCATCCCTGGGAGGACAGGGCAGGTGGCAGGGGCAGATAGCCGGGCACCCTGCACTGCTTGCTCCTAGTCCACTGTGCTAAGTGTCGTCCTCTGCCCTGCGTCCCCACGCAGACCGGACCTTGTCCTGTGCTCGGGAGGGGAGGCCTGCAGGGAGCGGGTGCAGCGCGAGACGCCAGCGCCGCGACGAGCGTG